TACTGGAATGCCATTACCTCCACTGGCCTTGTTGTTAGTCATGCTTTCCAAGGCCTGCTTGACTTCACTCTCCAGGATGTCTGGTTCAAGGTCAATAGCCACACTGTCTGGGTTGTCCGGGACATCCAGATCTTTCTGGTATAATTCCTCTTCTTGATGTCTTCTGCTTCTGTGAGTTCCCTAACATTTTTGTCCTTTATCATGTCCATCTTTGCATAAAATGTTCCTTTAATATCTCCAATTTTCTTGAAGAGATCTCTGGTTTTTTCCCTATTATTTTCCTCTATATCTTTACACTGTTCATTGAAGAAGGCCCTCTTGTCTCTCCTTGCTATTCTTTGGAAATCTGCATTCAATTTTCTGTAGCTTTCCCTATCTCCCTTGCATTTTATTTCCGTTCTCTTCTCTGCTATTTTTAAGACTTCATTGTGCAGCCACTTTGCTTTCTTGCATTCTTTTACTTCAGGATGGTTTTTGTTGTTGCCTCCTGTACAGGCAATCTGTCCACCAAATCAAGTTCCTTAAATCTGTTCTTCACTTCCACTGTGTATTCATAAGGGATTTGGTTTAGATTATACCTGACTAGCCCAGTAGTTTTTCCTACTTTGCTACAAGAAGCTGATGATCAGAGCCACAATTAGCTCCAGGTCTTGTTTTTGCTGACAGTATAGAGCCTCTCCATCTTTGGCTGCAGAGAACATCATCAATCTGATTTTGTTATTGCCCATCTGGTGATGTCCATGTGTTAGAGTCGCCTCTTGTGTTGTTGGAAAAGAGTGTTTGAGATGACCACCTTGTTCTCTTGACAGCTATAAGAAGCTGATGATCAGAGCCACAATCAAAATAGAATACAAACACAATTAATTGTTTAAGGTCTGCTAGTGGCCTATACATCAACACTCCCCACACCCTTGTCACCCAACAAACCTTGCCTGGCTGGCCAAACAGGTACTATATAGAAACAAGAATATCTGCTAGCTGACTTTTGTACAGAAAAATACCTGTAATGTATTTAACAAGCTGGAGTTTGTCCTGGAAACTGGAAGAGCACTATCAAAGCCCAATTTTAGCAACAAATACTGTATGTAGTGGTCCATAAGAAGTAATCATGCTTCTAATATAGCACAAGCTAGCTAATCTTTAACTTCTGGTCACTTGGAATGATGGCTATTTCAGACTCCCAAATGTCCCCTCCCACAACTGTCTCATAATCACCAAACTAATTTTTTTTTTGGTTGGCTTCTTCTTCTGCATTCCCAGGAAAAAGGGAAGACCTGGGGTGGATTGAATTCCTTACCTTATTCTTGTCTATGCTACCAAGCAGAGAACATTTTGCAGTTTGTGAATGAATTCTTTGTCATCCCATAAAGCCCAGCCAGGAAGAGAGAGGACAATGCCAGAACAGTCCTCTTGTAAGGAGCTATTACCTGCACCACTTTCTTGGGTCTTGCTGTTCTTGGGGAAGGGGAAGGGCTGAGGCCTCACTGGGACCCTGTTTTATTTATTTGGGTTTAAATCCACATGTAAGAGAGTATCTCCCGCCAACCTAGTGGTTCGAAAGCATGCAAATGCGAGTAGATAAATAGGGACCACCTCGGTGGGAAGGTAAACAGCGTTCCGTGTCTAAATCACACTGGCCATGTGACCACGGAAAGATTGTCTTCGGACAAAACGCTGGCTCTATGGCTTGAAGAGCGGGATGAGCGCTGCCCCCTAGAGTCGGACACGACTGGACAAAAATTGTCAAGGGGAACCTTTACCTTTAAGAGAGTATCTCCAGCAAGTTCCAGTGAGTATTGTGATGTACTGCAACGGATATTGATTCTATTAGTCTATAAAGCACTGCCAATATTGGTAACATTAAGCAATAATATTGTTTGTATCTCCTCCAACAGCATGGATGGTTTGTTCTTCCCTGCCACAGATAATGATAGAGAAAGCTGTCATTTGGTGGGCTTAACAATCACTTCTTTTATGAGAACAATTGCCAGGACTCCATAATGGATGTTGCACTTCAGCACCACCTAGTGACAAACAGTTGTGTTAGAGCATTGAGATAAACCACACAAACTGACAATGAGTTTCTCAAGGTTGCTGCCTTTTTATGAACAGTCCCAAGGAGACTCTTTTTGGCTGATGAATGCCAGCTCTCTTCCTTCTGAGGCTCAGCAGGGTCAAACGTATGAGATCTTAGTCTTTTTAAAGCCAGGCTTCACCGGTGATAACTGTACAGTGCTGGTTTTTCAAGCTATGATGAAAGCCTTAAGAGTTTCACAAAGCACCTATCCCATATCAAAAAATGTGCAGAAAGCAGGTCTAAAAGTTGGCATCAAGAAACATATTCTGGTCTTCAGCAGTAAACACAGGGTAACTTAAGAGCATTTAGCACCGAGCGGAAAACAGAGCTGTCTCCCTGTCTGCAATTGTGTGAGGTTTATCTGAAAAACAATATCTAAATACTTTTTGATTTAAATATGTACAAAATTTAATGACATTACTGGAGCAGAAACAATATATTGTGACCCAAGATTAAGTACGCTTTTTCTAACAGTATAGTCATTAGTTAGTAGTGTAGATAGATAACTTGCATGGAAGTGCACCTGCCAGCCCATTGCATTTGAAGGCCCTGGTTACTATGACGACACCACCGCCCATTTGCCAAGCCCATTCTGGAAATTCTTTAAATCTGTTTATTTAATTCATACACTGCCTTTCAACCAAAAGGCATTCAAAGCAGATAAGAATGATAAAATACCGATTAAAAACAAAATATTGTTTTAAGGACAACATAAACAAATCAATTGAAAACATAATAATAAAAGATATAGCTAGCATTCACACAGTTAAGACCACTCCCAGTCATAGAGTAGCCCAAATGTGGAAGGCCTGCCTAAGTTAACATTTATTTGCTTACTGCGGCAAGGGCACAAAGAACCTCCCCAACAGCTATACAGCATGGCATAAGGAACCTTCCCACTTTCGCCAGCTTTTAAAACTCAAGGTTACATGGCATTGAATATCAGTGAGATACATAATCTCTTACTCATTGGTGTAATTACCTAAAGGGACACATACTGTAAACATATGGTCTTGCAGGGATACATAATAGCACTTAAAGACACAAATATCAAGTAAATCAGTAGTCAAAACTAAACCAGAATTACCTTACTGTGAGTAAAATACCAATACCACAGATTAAACAGGTTTTAGTATGAAGAAAAGCCCTTGATATGACCCCTTTTATTGCATGATGGCAGTCAGTCAGAGAGTCTATTGGTAGATGTCTCTTAAGAGGCCACTTTTCATTCTGGATTCTGAGGCTAAGGATGTTCTGTCCCATGTTTCAATGGATGTCACTTCAGAGAACAAAAAATGCAGAATATATTTTATTGCATGATGGCAGTCAGTCAGAGAGTCTATTGGTAGATGTCTCTTAGGCCACTTTTCATTCTGGATTCTGAGGCTAAGGATGTTCTGCCCCATGTTTCAACAGATGTCACTTGAGAGAATACACACACACACACAGAGATAGACACATTTAATGTGTTCCTATGGGCAAAAAATGCACCTTTATGCGAAAATCCTCCATATGGCCACCATTTTCACTGCCCGGTAAGCGAGGAATGGGCGCAAAAACACAGCGGGCGGCCTTTTTTTTTTAAACCCGGTGGCCATTTTGGAACCGCCAATCAGCTGTTGGAAAAACATCGCTATGCGAAAATCAGTAAGCGAAACAGCGTACCAATCATCGCAAAGCGATTTTTTCATCTAAAATACTGCAATGCAATCGCTTTTGTGATCGCAAAAACTTAATCGCTATGCAGATTTGTTGTTAAACGGGGCGCCCGTTAAGCAAGGCACCACTGTGTGTGTGTGTGTTGTGTGTGTGTCCCTGTTCAGTTTCCGTCAGTAGTAGGTAGATACATCAGTGTCATCATTGTTTTGTTGTTTAGTCGTGTCTGACTTAAGGCTGAACTCTGCTTTTCACAATCCTGTGGCACCAGGGTTGATCATCATTGGCTACAGTGAGGTGAATGCCCCAGGCAGCCCTTATCCTTGTATGCTGTGAAAGGAGAACAATTTTTTATTTACTGTGTTTATCGTTGTTTAGTCGTGTCCGACTCTTTGTGACCCCATGCAAATGCAAGTAGATAAATAGGGACCACTTCGGTGGGAAGGTAACAGCATTCCGTGTGTAAGTCGCACTGGCCATGTGACTACGGAAGATTGTCTTCGGACAAAAACGCTGGCTCTATTGCTTGGAAATGGGGATGAGCACCGCCTCCTAGAGTCGAACACGACTGGACAAAAATTGTCAAGGGGAACCTTTACCTTTACCTTCAGACAGTTTTTTGCACTCTCCTCTTTCACCCTAATTACGAGGCTCTTTAATTCCTCCTCACCTTCTGCCATCAGAGTGGTATCATCTGCATATCAGAGATTGTTGATATTTCTTCCGGCAATCTTAATTCTGGCTTGGGATTCCTCCAGTCTAGCCTTTTGCATGATGTATTCTGCATATAAGTTAAATAAGCAGGGAGACAATATACAGCCTTGTCGTACATCAGGGTAGACATATATTTCTTACATATATATATCTCCCTGATGTGTGAGTGGTTTGGAGAAAGGTCATGGATTAACCTCGCTATGCGAGGCACTACTGTGTGTATATATATCCTATATATCCTATATGAGTGGTTTGGAGAAAGGTCATCAATATGGTTCCTATTTTAGTGACTGCATATGTGATACATCTACAAAGAAATTGTTCTTTTCAGAACTGATATGGTTCCTATTTTAGTGACTGCATATGAGATACATCTCCAAAGAAAAGGTTGTTCATTGTAGAACTATTGCTTTGTTCCTATGAAGATTCATGGACATTTAATGAGTTTGACTTCTATCATTGACTAGTTTCTCATGACTCCCATAACAGAGTAGAAATATGTCATCTCATAGATTTATAGCTCAACATGTCATTTTTTTACTTCTTTTACAAGGGGCCTGGCTCCTCAGAACAAGCCTGAGCTTCAGAAAGTGATGGAAAGACGAAAAAGAGACCTGGTTTTCAAGCAGAAAGAAGAGGAGGCACAGAAGAAAAAATCAGACTTGGAAATAGAGCTACTCAAACGGCAACAGAAACTAGAACAGGTAAAAGCGGATGGAAGTGTATCAGTAGCTTTGACAACCTTCCAGCATTCGATAAATGAATCTGGTTGCTCAGAAACTGCTTAAAACTGTATTGAAACCCACAAAGAAATGACTGTTAGTTCCACAGTAGTCTTCTGTTAAAAAACAGAGATAATAATAGGTTTTTAAATTGTAGGAGCAAATTCATGGAATGCAGTTTTGTCAATAGTTACCCAGCAAGATGGTCAGGTAATGTATTCTCAAGGTGACCCAGACAAGTGGGAGATGAATAAGAAGGGGTGGAAATAATTTCACAAATCTTCTCCTCTGTCATGTCAGTCTAAACCCTCTATGTACTGCCACAAAAATTACCGTTTAGATCTCCTCACTAGTTACAATTTAGATTTCAAAAAGCACTGCTTTTTTTAAAAAAATGTCATGCCTTCTATTTTTAAACAATATATCCCCCTTGTTTTCAGCTTGAACTGGAGAAGCAGAAGATCCAGGAAGAGCAAGAAAATGCACCTGAATTTGTCAAAGTGAAAGGCAACTTGAGGAGGACAGCTCAAGAATCAGCAGAAGCCCAAAATTCTTAGAGGATTTTTTTTTGAGGGACTTGAAAGCTTTTATCAAGTGGCTGCCAGGGCAGGACATCTGCAGAATGTCTCACCCTCTTGCCCTGGATTTGGGTGGGAAATGTGGTCAATACGAGGTCATTTTTTATTCTGGAACCTGTGGATTAAGAACTGCATGACAGATAAAACTCGCCAATAATACTATGGAGATCAGAGGATAATCAAGCAACCCGTTGTCACTTGAGAGACCTGCCCAAAATACTTGACCGGAGAAACAATATGAGTTGTTTGCATTGCTTGCTTATTCCTGATCCAACTCAGGCTAATGTGTGTGTGTGTTTTTTCTCTCCTCTTGTTCTTAACTTTGTAGAGTTCTGCCATGCAGAAGAACAAAGTATTGTGAAACCACTTCTCATTTGCATCCTGTATGGAATGCCTGCTTCGGAAATGAACTGTACCCATTTCCCCTCCCCTTCAAGTCTGTAGTGTAAACACAAATTCCTTTTGACTTGAAATTTATTTTGTTCACTAACTAGTGTGGGTACTTCATCACTATCAAAAAGTAAGTAGGAAAGGCTCAATATACTGCATCATTGAACAGATAAAAAGTGTTTTTAGTCACCTCTGCTCACAAATGAATGGCTGGTATTCCTCCCGTCCCCAAGCTTGTTGGCCAGCTGCACCACATTAATGCTCTGTATTGTTCACCTGCTGTGTCTAACTGGCAGCTGACTTTTTCTTTCATCTATTCCTCCACACAACCATGCTTCTAGTTTTGTAACCAGGCTACAGGGATGGATTATGTTTCTTGACAGCAGCCTTCTTCTATGTCACATGATATATTGTTTCTCAGACTAAGGGAACTTGGGAAAAAAAGTTTGTGAGCAGAATAGAGAACTGCTCTTCTAAGAAGAAAAATGTTAAACTTGAATATGCCTGCATTTGGGGCATATCCTTTGCTCTATAGGATTTTCATTGTTCTGCAAAGTATAAGAGCTGGGCAACATGTGGCCCTTCAGAATTTCCTGGACTTCAGCTCCCATAAATCCTACCCAGCATAGCCAATGGTAAGGGATAATGGCATTTGTAGTCCAGCAACTGAAAGGCCACCGATCTCACCAGCCTTGTGGTGGAAAAGGTAAAATAATGCCTGCCAAAGAATGCAGTGTTTTGATGCTGAAAGCCAACATTAATTCTCATGTTGGTAAATGAGATCTTTAATGCATCTATATGGACATAAGCCCCACCGAGTTCAGTGAGACTTAATTTGCAGATATGTGCATATAGGATTGGAGTCCAACTTGCTCAGTCATCTAGGACCATCTTCAAGTCACTTGATTATGTGGTAATATACCATTTTTAGTAGGAGCATGACTAAAATCCAGAGACAGAAGATTACATTCAGTATTCTTCCTTCTTAGAGGAGACCAGTTGAAATTAATGGAGTTTGTTGGTTAATGGTGAATAGTCAGCTAAATTGTAAGTCCCATGGCTGTTTTAGATTGGAATAACGTTAGATTTCGCTCAGAACTGCATATTTTCCAGAGGGGGGAAAAATCACTCTCTAGAACAGTGGTTCCCAACCTTGAGTCCCCAGATGTTTTTGGACTAAAACTCCCAGAAGCCTTCACCACTAGCTGTGCTGACCAGGATTTTTGGGAGTCGCACTCCAAGAACAACTGGGAGCCCAAGGTTGGGAAGCACTGCTCTAGAAGGACAAGCCTTCTGTATCGGGTTAAAAAACAACAACAAACCACTGCTAAGCTCGCTTCCTGTAGCTGGGTTTCAATAAAATTTCCAAATTTTATTGGCATGATTCTTTCTGCAAGGTTTCCCAAAGTAAGCTGTGGAAGAGTCTTTTGTGACACAGCCTCTTGATGGCATCATACAGTCTGGAGGAAAACTGCTTAATGCTTATACATTACAGGTGTGTAAGCGACGACTCTGCGCAGACCAGTATATCTGGAAACAAAAGAAAATCTTAAAAATGGACCTGCAGGTCCTATAGTAAATATGCTCTGTGTAGTCGTAACACTGGTTTTAGAGCATGTGTGTACAATATTTATTGCACTTTTGTTTCTTGGTATGCAAGTAAGAGAATGACAAACTGGTAAAGCATGCTTTAAAATAAAAAGGCCAGAATGTAGATGTAGAAAATCATGAATACAGGTACAGATCACGAAGCATCCCATTCAGTGGCTGCTTTAAAGAACATTAGAGGAGGATCAGGTCTATACTCTTGCTTTGGAAAGCTGAGTGAAAATAAAGCTTATATTTGCAATTACAACCATGTGAAGTGCTTGACGGTGTTTGATACCGGTACCAGCTTGCAAGAGTAATCTGTGTTTTGTCATAGCTGCAGGCATTAGAAATTGAAAAAAAAAAACAAAAAACGATTTGCTACTGGTCTTGGGACCCAACATTGACAACAAACAGTCTTCCCTGTGGCATGATGCTTTTCAAGTTGTCAGGACCCAAGCAGTTCTTCTCAACGTAAAATTGCATTATAAATCCACATCAATGATAAATACATTCTGTTGGGATCTAATTTACTTCTAATTTGAATCCTGACACAATGTCTTTTATCACTGACTTGAATTAATAATGTTGCATGCATTTTTAGAAGAGTGAATTCTAGGGCCATTGATGAAGCAATAATGTTGGCTGGCTTGACTTCAATCTTTGCTTGAAACATAGTGAAACTTTGCCATTTCTGCAAAGCAGAATCACAAATATTGTAGCTTGTTTAATTTCATTTCTTCTTACTAGACTGGAGATCAATTTTGGGAGAGATTTCTAATTGCAAATAGCTTATAGAGCAATTGTTTGCATTAGAGTTGGATTTGCCAGTGCCCTTCTCTGTCCAACTTGTAACTGTCTGCACTGCATAGAATGATTTTGGGAAAGGGGAGAGGAACGCCCAGCAAAATCTTGCCTTAAATGCTTTTATCAACTGTTGAGTGTTTCTCATGCTGTCACATTGAATTGACCCCATAGTCTTTGACAAATCATCACTTTTGAATTTGAATTTCACTGCCAGCCTGTGTTTTGAGGGGCATCTTAAAATGGGCTTCACAATATCTTCTTGTTGGGATTCCAAAGTAAAATAAGTATCTTGTTGCAAAAAACCCTGTGAACATGTGAGAATCCCTTAGATTTTACCAAACACCGGCCAGACTTTTAGTTGAATCCACTGTCCAACTGCTCTGCTTTGTAAGTCATCATGGATGCAGCTGTATGGTTTGTGGAGGAAGGAAGATGTCTCTTACAGCACCTGGTAAACTGCTTTGTAGATACAGTATGTAGTAATCTTGGGGATGGGGTGGGAAGTAATATTATTATACTACGCATAGAATGTAAACATACTTTTAGCCCAATGACTTCTTTTTGTGTAGGAATTCAGAATTATGTTTTGTGTTGATACAACAAATAACTGAATTTGAAAATATGGATTTAACAGATGCTTTGGAATGTTGAACTCTTCTTATTCACAGTGACAGACTGACAACCTTCATGTCTGAGATTCTGTTCTCAGCACTATCTACCATTTTTTTAAAAAAATCTAAATATTTTCTATTGAGCTGCCTGATTTGAAAATGGCTGCCTTTTTTAGAAGTCTTCTGTTAATTAATGAATGCTTTTAAATTTTGTTTTACCTGGTTAATGTAGCCTCTCAGTTCTTTAAGTGGTGTTTATTCTGATATAGCTACACTTCCTTCTGAGTGTACATATATAAATATTAAGAAAGGGAGCCTTAATGGGGGTATGTTTTCATAATTTAATATTTTTTTGTATTTGCTCATTCCTGTTTGTTTTTAACAAAGTGTTACAAAAATGAAAGTGGAATTCTTAGAACCAAAGTTAATACTTAATAAATATCTGCTACATGCTTGGAATATGTAACCGTGTACGTGACCTTGATCTTTGCTATATTTTCCTTGGTCATTTAAAATTGAATTCTGTGTCTCTTTTTACAGTGCACAATTCCAAGGTCACATTGACTGATTCCTTCAAATTACGTTCATGGTTATGCACACAGAAGGTGTCATTAACTGTTAAAATTAGTTGGGTAATGATAGTTTGATTTCCTCATTTCCCTTGCATTTATTATCTTGAACAAGAATTTTTTACTCCATGTTAGTAGCCTTAAATTATTTGAGGGGGAAGTTATTTAGCTGTTTTGGACTTATCGAATCCACGCAACGGAGTGAGCGCCCGTCGCTTGTCCCAGCTCCCGCCAACCTAGCGGTTCGAAAGCATGCAAATGCAAGTAGATAAATAGGGACCACCTCGGTGGGAAGGTAACAGCGTTCCGTGTCTAAGTCGCACTGGCCATGTGACCAAGGAAGATTGTCTTCGGACAAAACGCTGGCTCTATGGCTTGGAAACGGGGATCAGCACCGCCCCCTAGAGTCGAACACGACTGGACAAAAATTGTCAAGGGGAACCTTTACCTTTACCTTTACCTTTGGACTTTTAAACTTTTGACACAGATGAATTAATTCTGCCATTCTGAACTCTTCTAAATTTACCAAAAAAAACCACAACCAAACCAAAACAAAAAAAAACTGCTCCACAGTTCAAAATGCAACTAGTACATTCACACTCAGTTGCACCTGGGCCACATAATAGACTAGTAGAGCATTCTCATTTGCATTCTCAGATTTGGAACCCCAACATTGATGTTATGAAACATAGTTGTATTTTGAAGGATAAAGGATAAAGCTGCCCTGTTGAGTCATTGCCATTTTAAAAAGGAGCACAATCCAGCTACCTTTAAGCATATTGAAGTTTTACTAGGAGAGAGAACCGCATGTTTAATCCCTTCTCATTAAAATCAGTGGGGAACCCATGTGCATATTGTTGGCTTTATTTTTAAGTCAGAATCAAGTTTATAAACATTAATTTTGAATAATATGGCGGGGGGAGGGGGTCCCTAGCAGTTTTAGGTCATCTTGAATTGCTGAATTAGTACTGCCACTGCTTGAATAGACCAAAATTTATACAGTTTCCCAGATTGTACAGATTTGGGGTTTTCAAGGATTTGAGCTTACTGGGAGTTCTGTAACTTATGCAGCACCTTCCTAAACCATCGTCTTTTGATATATTAAAATTATAACTCCCACAGAAACCTTGCACATGCAGCATGCCCTTCCTAACTAATGAACACTTTTTTAAAAAAAAGAAAATGTAAAATGCTTAAAAGTACTATAAATGGGAGTACTGCAGATGGAAGCACTGGCCTCCAGCTGCCCATGATCTTCATTTCCCCAGAATGCCAGTGCTGCTCTAAGATGACAAGGAGAAATAAATAAGTGAAGGAGAAATCTGCCATGGAGGCTTTGCCAACTGTATCTTTAATAGGAGCATTATTTACATATATATCAGATATTGCGGAAAACACCTGCTGTTTGAATAGGGTGGAGCATTTTTCTTTCATAGTATGTACTGTATATGAAATGGCCTAGAAACACAACCATTTGGTGTTTGTGGGCCAATGTTTTAATAAGGGCTAGAAACTTTGTAAAACTTCAGTTAACTAATCTGTGACAAACAACTTTAGTTCCATTGGGTATGTGCTGAAAGTATAATTGCTTCTATAAAGGAAGATTTCAGGTTTGATTTGTTTTCTTATAAGGAACAAAAAGCAGATTTTAAAGACAACGTTTTGGCTGTGAAGGCTAAATTAATATGTTGGTCCCAGCTAATGTAAAACAGTTGAATGAATGTGACTTATTACATGAACACTTATCATAAGTCCCATTGATTCAATGGATCATCTTGACCTGGACAATTGGATTTAGCCCATAGCATGTGTATTACATTCTAAATTATATTGCATGCCCTCAGCAACTTTTTATTAGCAATATCCCAGGCTTCCCACTTTTTTTTCTTCAGACCATGATGTACAATATTCTCTACCAGTAGTCTACCTCCCTTTAAATGTAAATAAATAAGTACATTTAATGCACCAGACCCTCTTTAGCACTAACTAATGATGAACCAGTACTTTTGTTTTGTATCCCCTTCAACAAAAAACAAAACAAATAAAATCCATCCTCTCCTGCCTAATAGCAGATTGTTTGTGTCTGTGGGTTTGTTAAATTATTTTTGGAGTAAGGAGCTCTAATCTCTTTCACTACACCTTTTCCTTATCCTGGTGCCCTCTAAGGAAAAGGTGTTGAGTGAACTCTTAATTAGATGTTTTAATTTGCTGCAGCTGCATTAAGAGATTAGCCTGGAAACTGATATCATGTGGTGTATCAGAAGATTCACTGCTGCTCATGGTTACTTGGTGAGTAGAAAATAACTTAAGTAATATATAAAGACTATCTGGGACCTCACATCATTTTAGGCTAGTTTCTGTTAGTAAAGATGAGTTCTAGCCTTAGTTTTAGTTAATTAGCTCTGCATCATGTTGAAAGGAGATGGAAGAATAATGAGAACCGGATATTCACCTACTAACTATTTCTCCTGGGAAACAGGTGTCAGTTTGTGCTAAGAAAAATTCAGTTTTGTCTTTCTCTAGAGGATCTTCAACAATGAAAGGCTTCAGGTCAACAGTAGCCATCATTTCTTTGTATCACCATTTCTGCTTCTTTTTGAAGTTACAACAAGG